TATCTCTGTAGTTCCACCTACTATATTCTATTTTTTATTTTTGTGTTATGTAAAAATAAAAACGATGCTTTATTAATAACCAAATTTTCCTCCCTATCTCCATCGTTCCCTAAAATTCCTTTAATACTCCATTCCCTCCCTTTTTCCATAATTACTTTCCTCATCAAAAAATCTAATTATTAAACTCGGATCAAATAAATATATGATGCTGAACTGCACAGATTATACCTATGTAATGAATTTACTTTTGAAACTTTATTGCGTTTCTCAATTAATTTTTATTTTTCAAGCAAGATCGGGAACCAGAAGAAAAAAAATTGCACCACCGTTTAATGTGTTTAATAAAGCTTGCAGTTACACAAAAGAGTTGGTAAGGGGCAGATATTGGCAACCTAAAAAAAACGTTTAAATTTTCTTATGGTAATTGTTCGTCTAGCACATAAACATTATTTTTTCACGTTTTATTAAGCCAGCCGAAGATTAAGGCATAAAGAACTAAAACTCATGTTTATACTGGGACATAATCAACACTAGAAATTAAGTCATTGTAAATCAAAACTTGAAATCCAGTTCTGCTGTTTTTGGATGATTGGCTATTTTAGGTTCTTCAGTGTCATAATGTAACCCCCATGTTAATACAAACAACAACAGAACCATATACTAAACAGTATAACCATTGTGTACAAACATTATAATTATTTTTATGCAACAGATGACTTAGTCCTAAAATATTTATTTAGTCTGCTTGGAGTACAGTGCAGTTGACAAACCCTTAAAATGGGTTTTGAAAGTGGAGAAAAAACTGACAAGCCTCCTCTATGTACGGAGACACATTCATTTAATGACTTTGATTTAAAAATCTCTGCTTAGCCAGACTCCTTCATATTTAACAACCCTCTGCTGCAAAAATTGACTAGTCATTTCACTAAAAAGACTTTTTCCTTCCTTGATTTTTCCAGAAATTTGAACGTAAATAGGGAAACAAGCATTTAACATTTATTGCTGCAACAGCATGACACCATCTTCAGTGAGAATTTGAGATGAAGGATCTCATTTCTTTGAAATTATTTTAAACCATTCTTAGAAATAAGCAGTGTGATGCTCTTATTTTAATCATATTACTGATTGTTCCATCCGCTACAATGTATTTGATTTGTGTAACTCTTTTGATGCCTTCCACAGACTTTCTGCCCCTCTTGTAAATGAGATCTTGGTCTCAATGGGATTTTCACCTGTTAAAAAATTAAGGAAATGAGCCTGTAAGTGAAGCTGATCTTTTAGATTTATTTCATGTTAAATATTTGCTAGATTATTTCACTGTTCAGCTCATCGCTTGCATATTTTACAGGAACATAACGAAACCAAAAGTGATGCTTCGTACAGCCTAATTAAAGGATGTTCAAAATTGTAGCTTGGTCACATTTTCGTGTATGTTGTAAGAGTTCTTAAAGAGGTGGGGAAAAAATGGAAACCTGCCATCAGAAAATCCAAATGACTTTTTGGTAAAACAGTTGAGGCTTCCGGATGTGAACTGTGGTGTTAACACAACAACAAAAATAACCAAAAAAAGCTAAATACTCTAAAAATATGCCAGTAAATAAATGCAATATATACAAAATCTGTTTTATTTAGGAACAATGAGAGACAGAAAGTAAGCACATCCCAACATTCTTGTAAATACTATATTTTGATATAACACTTTGGATTGATGCAGTTGCCGCCTTAACTCCAACTGGGTTGGAGTAGACAAACATTAATAATATAAAGTGCAGCAGTGATCAGAATGTAAACAATGAAAGGAGGAAAAAGAAACCAGTTTAAATAATGGTCCAAAAGTGCATTAATGTGAAAACTTTCAGTTTTAGGGCAAAAATAAATATGGTGCGAAATGCAGTAGAAACATTGAGTTGTGTTCTATTTAAAAGGATTATAAAGTTTAGCAACATTGTTAGTGCAAAATAATGTGATGCATAGTCCAGTTTATAGTTCAACAGTCTGATGGCAGTGGGGAAAAATGCTTTTGCAGAACTTGCTGGGGCTGCATCGAATGCTGCAAAGCCTCTTCCCAGAGGGCAGCAGGGAGAACAATCCATGGTACGGGTGTGAGGGGTCATTGAAAATATTAGGGGCTTGGGACACACAGCGCTCTGATTAAATGTCTTTTACAGAGGGAAGGGGAGCCCCGATGATCTTCTCTGCAGTTCTACCTATTCTCCTCACCTTCTTCCAGTCTGAGGTGCTGCAGCCTCCACACCACAGAGGGAGACAGCTGGTCAGAACGCTCTCTATGGTGCTTCTGTAGAAGGTGGTGAGGATGGGTGGGGGCAGGTGAGCTCTCCTCATCCTCCGCAGTACATGCACTTTTGTGCCCTTTTGATCACTGAGGTGGTGTTTTACATACCAGGTGAGGTTGTCTGTGATGTGCATCTCCAGGAATTTGGTGCTGCTGACCACCTCTACTGCTGAGCCGTTGATAAGCAGCGGAGTCGACAATGATCTCCTTCATCTTCTCCACGACTAAACTTGTATTCTCACAGATCAAATAGCTGATGTCACGTTTGCATGAGTCGACAGCAAGGAACAAATACAAATCTTAAATTTATTGACTTAAATTTACAAATTGAGATGACCACACATACTTTATTGACACTCCCAAACTATGACACTGCCACCATCATGCTTGACTGTAGGTAGGTTATATTTGTCAATGAGATACCATGTAACTTTAAAGGTACACTATGCAACCGGTGTTGATTTTCCAGCGAGGCTCCCCCCAGAGGGCGAAAGTAAAAGTGCACTGTCGTAAATATGCACAGCTGTTCTCCTGGTTTCTCCGTCAAGCCAGGCGCGGTTGTTTTGAGCTTAGCAGACAGGCGAACGCAACGAATGACTAATGCTGCGTTCACACCGCAGCTGGCGCGACAGAAGCAGCGAGTTTACATGCAAAGTCAATGGTTGACGCGCGTCAAGGCGCAGCAAAAGGTCCCGCGGCGCGTTTTGAGCAGCAGGCGCAGCGCGTCTGAGCAGCTGAAGCAGCGCGTCGGGCGCGTTTAATCATGTGACGCAGGGAGAGAGACACAGCGCTGATGATCACTCCTATTAAACAGTTTATTGACGCCTAAATTAACTTAAAATGCAGAAATCTGCCGGCAGAATATGCAGTTTGGATTATTTAGATGAAAAACACCTACCAGCTGCCGCGATGAACCGCGAGGAGGCGACCCGGCCAGAGGCTGCTGATGAAGGGATCCATACTGTCGGCGCATCCCTGGTATGTGGGGGTCTGAGCGGCTCCGACAGAAAAAATATTGAAGGCAGGATAATAATCTGAATGAACTGACTGCACTGATTACGTTTTCAGGTGTATTTTCTCACTTAAACACATATCAAAACTACTTTATACCCACTGATCACAGCAAATATAGCTGCAAGGCAGAGAAAGGATAGTGAAGCTCCGCCCAACGCGCGTCAGACACACTTTTGCAGCCAGAGCAGCAAAGCTGCTTCAGCCGCGCGTCAGAACTAACTGGTACAAGCAGCAAAAATGAAGCAGCAGACGCGATTTTGCTGCTTTTGCTGCGTGAATGTAGCATAACTGCACAAAGATCGCCACTGTGCTAGCAACGAGAATGCTTTTAACTGGGGGGTGTAGCAGTTCTCGCCGTAAAGCAAGACTGACTCTCGCGAGACTTCTGAGTCTGTGGGTGCGGGTCGGTGCTCCTGCAATTGCAAGTGCAGTATTTCCCCCACAGACCACCAGGGCGGCCGAGAATACCTTTGTTCACCCTGAAATGACTCATTTAATCATCCAAAACGTTATGGAACACATTAATTAACTGGAAAATGTTGCATAGTGTGCCTTTATTGTAAAACTATTGATTTCATCTAACTAAGCTGTGATCAAAGTTATACAATCAAGTTGACGTGAACAAAAAATACACCTTAAAAAACATTTTTTCTCCATAGAATTTATAGGATGACCTTGTGTGTATATATATATATATATATATATATATATATATATATATATATATATATATATATATATATATATATATACATGTGGATGAAAAGTTGGTGAAATTGAATGGACTGATGACAATGACAACAGTCGACTATTTTTTTTGAATGACCATATTGAAAAATCTGTCCCTTGTAATCCCATTCAAATGGTACGGCCATTTATCTGGCAGAGGTGAGTTTAAAAAATACATAACTGATTGATATAGGATCAATAATATCAGAGTAGTTGAGAAAAATTCAGTCCTGTCTTCTTGTGGTAGGATACAAGAAATAAGAAACAAGGCATTAAGAAAATAAACAATGATAAAATATGAAACAATTTTCCTTTTCCATATTTATCCAGAGCCAGTTAAACAATATCAGAGCCCACCCCCCTAAAAACCCCAGAAATGAATAAAGTGAGAATCTGAGCTTTAAAGAGGGCTGATGCTGACGGCTCTTTCCAGAAACAGAAACTAAACTGGTCCATTCTAGTTCAGTAAGATGTTTGTCAACAGCATGCCGTGTGCACTGTACCAAACACGTTGTACGGGAATGCCTTCCAGGGAAAATATCATAAACGCACTGATAAGGAAGAGATTACACCTTAATTAGTTTCAGGTCTGGTTTTTCATGTTTCCTGAATTCTTTTTTATCTGAATCCTCTACAACACACACAAAAAAATGCTTTTCGGAAAAAACGCAAAAACAGAACTGAAAAACTTCCTCAGCGAATTTTATAATGTAATAAATCAGGTTTATTGTTTGCGGCTTTATTGAAATGATTTATTTTGATTAAATTTGGTGAATACATACTCAGATCAAGGGGGTGGGGGGTTGAGATTGAGAAATAGAAAACAAGCCACATTCATTTCTGGTTATCAGGAAAGAGCTGCTGCAAAAAGATCTTAACGGATGACATCTTTGGAATGTGGCTTTTCACTCATGAGCAGAAGTAAAACCAGAATGAGGGGGGGAGTGATGGCCGTCTGCCTTTGATGCTCAGTAGGGGGTGGAATCTGAAATGACAGGTTGGGTTTAAGTATCACCACCAACCTGGTGGCAACAGAGACGCAGAGAAGACTCAGCATCATCGGGGTGGACGACCCAGCAGACTGAAATAGGTAAGTCTGCCAAACCTAATTCCAAAAAACTGGCCTTTTCTTTTTTCTTTTTTTCCAGTGGTACTTATCTCCCTGACTTGTTTGCACATCCAAAGCTCATTAGAAAGTCTAAATTGGCTTGATTTCCAATGCATAGCAAATCTGACCCGGTTAATTGGTGCTGACAGCTTCTTATTTAGATCCATTAAAGGAGATTAAAAACTAAGCACAGGTCAAAAATGTTAACGCCGCATCAGAGGGGGGAAGGATGGAGAATATGTGATGAGATCTCAAAACGTTTATAACGACCGGGGCAGAGATGAGTGAACACAGTTCGAAATGAAGATTATAAACTTGTTTATTTCGAGTTAAGCTTGCTGTTGAAAAGCAGTTATACCGAACCAGGAAATGCAGCAAACTTCATTTAAATGTACTCATCTTTACAGGTTCAAGATCATAGAGACACCATGTCAGCAGGTAAGGTGGCAATCTATTAAAAAATATATATTTCCAAATTTATTAAGAATATTTCAATTAATTCAGAACATCTCTTTTAGACTTTGGCAAAAAGAAGGTATTTCAACAAATCAAGGTCAGTCATGAGTTCAAGGAGGATAACTGTTGGATCAAGAGGCCTGAGGAGGACAGGTGAGTAATTTTCAGCAGAGCTGATCAGGATGTTCTGCAGAAACAACATCAGCCACAGGGTTTCTTTTTCTAAAGTAATGCACAGATAACACTAAGAGGAAACTTCTCGTGTTGTAGTGTGACTTCTGAAAAGAAACAGAAACTGGCTCCGCCCAAAAAGGGTTCATACATCCAGTCGATCCTCAGAAGATTTGAGTAAGTAACACAAAACGCACGTCTGAAAAAATAAGATCTTAAAATAGGTAAATATTTGAGCAGGTAAATAAGATGATCTGCCAAAGGAATTTGTTTTATTCACTAATATATGATATTGGAGTTATTTAAAATTTTTTTAAATATAAATCTTATTTAATTGTTCAATTTTGTTATTTCTCTGCTCAAATTAAGTAAAATTAAAATGTAAAAAAGTTTATTTACATCGAGTTTTTATTTTGAAGCTTGATCTCTCTGCTCTGGGTATGTTTAAAGAAGAGATGAATTTGGGGGTTTCATTAGCTTTAGGTCTTCATCACAGTTTACAGAAATAAATATTTAAAATAAATCATCCCAGATATAACTTTTTAAAAAATAATTGAAATAAAATAGTTTTGATAAAATTTCCAGTCATTAAAATGCACGTGTTCATCTAAAGACCAGAGCACGCCTGGTTATTATTAAGGTACTCCCACATTTAGACTCCAAACATGTTAAGTTAAACTTTATTAATGGTAAAGTAATGTAAAATAATACTCACTGTGTACAGGTTTGATTAAAACACAAGTTGAATATGCACTTATTATTCAATCAAACATTTTTCTTCCAGTCATAGCTTTGGCTGCGGCACTCTTTATCCGTAACATTATATTGTTATTTAGGCCGATTTAACTGATTGTATGAAATATTTCAATTTTCCAAAAAAACTGGAATTTCGGTTGTTACCCCTGATTATTAAAGAAACACAAAAAACACCTTTAAATTTAAACTAAATTCCAGATGAGGGTCACTTTTCTACGGCAACACATCACCATTACATTAATATTCTTATTTATAAAGATGCAAGTGTGTATCTGAGAATATGAACCTGTGTTAAATAGAGCAAAAATAAGCCCCAGATGTATAGATTCCAAACCCAGTTAAAATAAAAAGGTTGAGTATAAAGAACTGAGTAAAAAGTGTTTTTTGTTCAGGTTGAGATCAGCTTTCCAAGTGTTGCATCACCCTAAAAGTGACTGAGGTATCAAGACGCCATCTTTGATATTTAGGCAGAGAAACAGTAACTTTGTCCTTCAGCTGCTTTCCTGCAGACCTACGGTACCTTCAGTATATGTGACTCAAACTTTAACGTCTGAATATTTACTAAAGTATTTTCCCTCTGAAGGAATCTAAAGTATTTCCTGGTAATCAAACAGACAAAAGGTTTCTGCTTCAATCCCAGAAGAGAAACTCCTGACTGTAAATGTTTCTTAATGTTTTACTAGCCTTAGATGTCGATGGTAAAGCCGGAATTTTACAGAATATAAAATTAAATTCAAAATGTCTCATCTGTGATTTTAAAATAATAAAAATGCAAACGTATGGCAGAAATGAAGCCAGACAGCAAAAGATACCTTAATTCTAACAGGAATCCATCAGCTTCTAGCAGCCAGTTGGATTAGCATTCAGTCAGGCGTTTAGACCCAATCCCAGTGCCAAGGGCTTTTTTTAAACTTCTCACCCACAAAATGGTACCAGAGAGAACAAAATCTACTAAAACATTTAACCACAGGTGTAATAACAGAACACACAACCATAAAACACTTTATCATAAACATTTAATTGGTTTAATTTCTTAACAGGATATCAAGAGCATTTAGTAGTTGATGGAGGACCCCAACTTTGAAAATTAATGCTTTACAGTAACATCAAAAAAGTTACTTATGTGTGACAGCATGCAAAACCTCTATAGTTAAGATAAAGTGGACATTTACAGCTATGGAGAGAAATTTGTTCCAATATTTTCGAACACAAAGAACCTCTTGAAAAAAAAATGAAATGTAAAGAAAATGTGTTTCAAAAAAAGGAAATTTGAAAAAAAAAATGCCTCACTAAAAAAAGGACAAATTTATGTGCATGTTAAAAATATTTTATCGATGGTTAGCTATTTTAAAGATTTTCTTCTCAGATTTTGTTTTCCATATCTAATAAAAAAAAAAAATTCAAATACACTTTTCTGAATCTATGAAATTATTTCAGACAATTTGAGACAAGAAATTCAACAAACAATAACTACAAAGAAAATTGCAATCAATATAGGCACCCAAGCCATACTTTCTATCCCTAAATAAATGTAAACAGAAATAGAAACTATATCTGACCAGTAATTTAAACCTAAAAGTATAACCTCAGATGTGACATTATTTTGTCAAATTAGAAATGAATAGAAATGCTTCAAACAGAGTAGACTTGTTTCTATTGGTTCCAAACAAAGACCAATAGAAATGCTGTTCCATGCAGACGTCTAGAGGGTGAAGTCTGTTAAACATAAAACTCAGTTTTCTCCAAAAAAAAAAAAAAAAAATTTAAATTAAATCAGATGTTTTTTTGGAAAAAGACTAAAACCTTGCAAAAAAAATAAATAAATAATTAAAATCAGAAAATTCTGAAAAGTCTGGAAAAACAAACTGTAAAAATAAGGGTCAAACTTTTTTTTTTATACATTTTCCTCAAATGTCCGTTTTTGAACTGTGTTCAAAAAAATAAAATTTTCTCTTGGTCATTTAAAATTGAAGTTTTTTTTTTTTTAAATTACATCTATGCCTTTACATGTAAAATGCTTTTTAAAATTTTTAATTTATCCTATTTATTTCAGTTATTATTAACAGTGTAAGACCAAAATCTCCACTATTCCTCCAAGAATTAATGCAGAAGAGCTCTTTCCTGCTCAAAAACATTAACTAAATAACCTGTAGTTGAAGTTAAATTTAGTTTAGGCTATTTTTTTTAACTTTTCCTGAACTAGAACATTTGGTTGCACTTCCTAACTCTGCATAGCATCAAGCTTTGTACATCAGTGACCTGATGCTGTCACATGTCCATGATTTACGGACTAATCAGACTTCAAGGGGGTCCAGTGGTTCCCCTGCCCCAACTCTAGCTCCGCCCCTGCTTTGCTTTCAATAATATTGAAACAAATGTTTCTCCATACTCATCTTTCTCCACCTTCATAAATGTTTGTTTTTAACTGGAAAAGATTTTAAAGGCTTTTTAAATAAACTCTGAAGATTAAAGGTGCTTAATTTGATTTGCTAAATTTCACACATTTTGTCTGACATCCAGCTGATAGAGTAAATAAACAAATGCACACCTGCATAGAAAGTAATGACACAAATGCTAATATATTTTCATAAAACATCTTTATTTAAATGGTCTCCCTGAGAACATGCTTCTTCTGTTGAAATGGCCATTAAAACATGCAGTGTTTGGACACATTTATTTAAAAGCACATTAAATAAAGAGAAAAATCTCACTTTTGTAAAACAGATTTCATTCTAAGAGAAATATTTAAACAGCTTAGTTCCAAAAAATGTCTTAGAAGCAGCAAAACAAAAACTTTTTATAATAACTCAGGCCTTCGGTGAATTCTGCTCTGCCTCGAGTGACAAGTAAAGGATGAGCTGGATATCAAACAGCATCATGTGTCACTTTGTCAGAACAGGCAGCTCAAGCCTGTGATGTTTTTTGAGAGGAAACTTGAAGATCTGGCTGACCAGCCCGCCCACAGAGCGATGAAGAGTCTGCCTCTGTAATTACGGCCGCAGACGTGGGATGGCACATCTGTCAACGAGGCTGCAGCCACTGCAGACTTTCAGTCGCTAAACAATCGCCTGGATAACATTAGTTAAGCCAGTTGTAACATCAACCAGCAGGCAGCTGAGTTACTGCTCTTTTTTTTTTTTTTTTTAGAAGCTCTGTGTGTTGAATGTAAACTGAGTGTCCATTTTTTTGTCAACAATAATCAAACAGGAAAAATATTAATCTCTGGTTCAGATGAATAAAAAGGCTTGAAATAAATTCAGTTTTTGTTATATAACAACCTCCCATTGAAACGCGTAGAGCAGGGGTCACCAACGTGGTGCCAGAGGGCCACATGAGGGGCCCTCAAACCTTTTCTAGAAATGGAACGACTCATCAGTGAGCTGCATCTAAAACTTGCTTTTCTTTAATTTTTCTTGCATTTATAGATATTTAAAAAGTGCAACATCTAAAAGAAATGTTAGAAATATATTTATTATACATGAAGTTAATAGATGAACGCTGACTCTTCCCCCTCAGGGGTCAGTGTTGGTAGCCCTTCGTATGACTCCGTAGACATGAAGCAGCTCTCTGCTTCATAAACGGGAAGAAATAAAACCCTTAACTTGTTATATTTACTGGAAAATAGTAAACATCTTAGAATATTTTTTTTCTCTAACCAAAAAAAAAATTAGCTTTTTTTTCTCCCTCCACTGTTTACGAGTAGGACCGTATATCTTTCCTCCAACTCAGCTCACAGATTCTGCAGATTTAGTTCTAGGAGGAGAAATATGGAGAGAAATTTGTTCCAGTATTATTGAAAGCAAAGAACATAACAGTTTTACGAACCAATAGAAATCAGTCTGCTCTGCATAAGCATTTCTGTTGGTCTAGACATGGACCAGCCGGAAATGTAGAGAGGAAATCAAGATTTGAAAAGAATAAGAAAAAAATAATTAAACCCCCAGAAAGAAGAAGAAAAAAAAAAAAGAAAGTATGAAATAAAAGCAAACCTAGCAAACTTTCACAAGGTTCCATTTTGAAAACACTTTTTCCTCAAATTGTCCTTTTTGAAACATGTTCTTTGCTTTCAATAATATTGGATCAGATTTCTCTCCATAGTAAATAGGTAGACATAGAATATGGCCATAAATTCCTGCATTTGGATCTAGGTTTGGGATAAATCCTGTTTAAACACGCATAATGATTCATTACCAGGTAGCAGGTAGAGTCCGCTGTCTTTTTATTGAAAATCTCCCAGTACACCAACAGTCAATGACAAGGCTGCCTTTACATAGTAAGAGCAAATAGACCCACAGCACCACAGATTCTCCACCGTGTGGGCCTAAGCTCAAGCTCCAGTTCAACTTCAGATGTGTGATTTGAGGAATTCCTTGCTAAACAACTGTCTGGCTTGAAAACGTTTGTCTTCCTGTAAAGACCAA